GAATATATAAAAAAAAATTACACGAATTAGGATACAATAAAATTCAGGTATTCGATCCTAAAACTAAAAAATATTTGGGTACTTTATATAGGAAATATCACAGGAAAAAGCCAATAATTCAAGGTAAGTTAGATGATAAACAAAAGAAAACACATAATGCGTGTAAAAAATGTATGTATTGTAAAACTCAATTGCTTGATGAAGAAAAAAATAAGGTACTAGATCATGATTATATAACAGGAAAGTTTCGTGGAGCATCATACAGTAGTTGCAATCTTAAATTACAAATTAATCCAGAAACAATAAAAATTCCAGTATTATTTTCTAATAAAAGTAGCTATGATTTTTATCATCTAATGCAAGAAATAGCAAAAGTGACAAATGAAAAAATAGTACCTATAGCAAACAATTCTGAACAATATATCACTTTCTTAGTCAGACAATTGCAATTTATTGACAGTATAAAATTTTTGTTATCTGGTTTAGCTAAGATGGCAAAAAACTTATATGATAAAAAAAGTGCCAAACTAAAACACCAGAACAACTAGTAAAATATTTTTTAATTATATCAAAATTCATCTCACCTTATTTATTATCATTGCTTATATGTAAAGGAATATTTCCATATCAATGGTTAAATATCAAAATGAAATTTAAAGAGACACAACTACCTTCATGTAAAGATTTTAATAGCAATTTAGATAGATATAATTATTGTGAGCATGGATATGAAAACAAAGAATATGAACATAAGAAAATTTATACTATATCTCAAAAGGATTATAACTTTGCCTAGATAGTTTGGTGAGAAACAAGATATAAAACTTTTGGTGATTATCATGATATTTATCTTAAATTTAATATATTAATTTTGGCAAATACATTTGAAGTATTCTGAAAAGCATCTTATTTAGCATTCAAACTCGATCCAGCAAATTATTTAACTACATCTGAATTAACATGAGATGCCTGTATGAAGATGACAAAAGTTAAATTAGAATTATTTAATAAGCAACAAGAGGATATATATGACTTCTTTATAGCTATAAAAAGAGGAGAAATATCTTTAGCAAAACAGTGTATAGCCAGAGCAAATATTCCAGAATTAGAGGGGTATGATGAAAAAAAAGCAAAAAAGTAGCCTTTGTATCTAAATGCAAATAATCTCTATAGTTGGGCAATGTTTCAATATTTATCAACTGGTAGATTTAAATAGCTATCAACTATACTTTTGAATATATTTTACTCTTTAGTGCAGAAAATTTTAATGATAAAAGAAAAATCAAATTGAGAATGTTGTTTATAGGTTAAGTTAACAATTTCTAATGAGTTGTATCCCAAATTTCAAGATTATTCTATATGTCCAGAATAAAAGAAAGTACCATATTATTGGTATAAAAAAAATGGTTAAAAAATTAATATCCTGATACAGAAAACTTATACTAATTCTATATGATAAAGACCATTACGTTATTTATTATAGAAATCTATAGCAGTGTATAAGAGAAGGGTATATTCTCAAAAAAGTATACCAAATTCTAGAATTCAATCAATCTCCATGGCTAGAACCCTATATAGCAATGAATACTCAATGATATGCAAAAGCAAAAAATGTATTTGAAAAAGACTTTTGGAAATTAATAAATAATTCGGTATTTAGAAAAACTATGAAGGATGTGAAAAAGTGAGTGAATATAGATCTGGTTCAACAGGTAAATGAAGAATATAGACAATGTCAATTAATATCTGATCTAGCATTTGTTAGTCAAAAAATTTTCTATGAAGCAAATTTAGTGGCAGTGTATCGAAGGCAAACTAATATAAAACTAAATAAGCCAAAATATGTAAAGACATATATTCTCAATTTTTCTAAATATTTTATGTATAATTTCTAGTATGGATATCTCAAAAAGAAATATGGAGATCGAGTAAGGCTTTTATATACAGATACAGATTCTTTAATAATAGAAATTGAAACCAAAAATATTTATTAGAACATGATAGATAATTGTGATTTATTTGATTTTAGCAATTATTCTAAAGACCATTGGGTAGTAAAAAATTTACCTGAAAATTAATAGATACTTAATGATAAAGATGAGCATATCTTAAAAAATACTAAAGTTATAGGTAAGTAGAAGGATGAGAATGGAGAAGATCAAGCTATTGGCTATGCAGAAGTTCATATGAAATGCTATAGTATTGTATGTGAAAATTCACAAAAAAATATAATTAAGGCTAAAGGTCTTAAAAAGTCTTTCATCAAGAAAGAGCTTTTATATAAAATATTCGAGGACTATGTTTTAGAAGAAAAAGAAAATCAATCATGAACTGCTCAATTTCTCTGAAGTTACAGATATCGAATGTATAGAATAAAGCAAACAAAGAGAAGTATTAACTCATTTGATTCAAAATTGTAGATAGCTCAAGATAATATAACATATATTTATATGGGAATTGTGAAATTTCAGAAGAATAAACACCTAACTAAATCATTCTACTTATTGTAATAAATATATCTTTTTTTTTTTTTTTTTGGTGTTAAGGTGGCCTCTTGGCCGGCTCCTTTTATTCAGTTATAGTTAACTTTTACAATA